AACTTATATGATAAAAAATTCAGATGCTTATGTCAAATGAAGGATGGACACTTCTTATGAATAATGGAAAAGAAGAATCTACTATTTTGAAAGAATATATCCAGAAATTTGATACTCATCGAATTAATGGAAGTCCTACAACAATTCAAGAATCATGCAGATTGAGGGAGTGCCCCACACGCAAACAAGACTAAAAAGATTGATAAAAGATAGGGATCTACCACTACCAAAGCATCTAGCCAGTTGCATATGGAGCCAAAGATGTAGCGACAATAATAGAGGAAAAGATGCCCCTTTGATGAAAAAGTAAAAAACGCATGTGAAAATGTAGACCCCAGGAGGAAAAGAATAGAGAGGCATGTGAGCCTTTTCAAATTCTGATATATGCAATGATGTAATAGACCAATAATAGCAAGTTTGAGTCATGTATAAATGGAGGTCTTTGGGGAAAGAATGGATCATCTCGAGTTAGAAACCATTCTCTTTTCCTAAGCTTTCTTTAAAACCAGTTTTTCTGATAACTCCCTTGTATACAATAGAAATCTTGTATAAATCATTATAGAAATAAAATTCCAATCTTTTGATATAAGAAAAATATGATTTTCTAAACTTCCTATCCCGTAGATTCTTGACAGATTAAAGAAGATAATTTCTTTTTTACTTTAACAAAGAGAGAATTTTCTCTACTTAAGATCCTTATACTTAATTCTAAGAAAAGATACAGTGAAGGCAAGAAGCTGAAATAGCAAAATTCCCATTAAGGCAAAAGGCCGTTTGGGGGAGAAGTTTGCAGATTCAGAGCCTGAAGGTCACTCGATTCTAAGAATGCAGATTTAAGATCAAAAGTAAGGTAAAATTATTGTCTTTGTTAAATTTAGAAAGAATTCTTTTAATATCTTGAAAGAATCGTAGGGATTATTACTTAACATGTTTGCAAAAACTTATCTATCATGTTATTATTATTTATCATAAAGCTTGTAAGGAATTATCTATATGATGCCAGGCTATACAATTAAAAGATTAGATAATCTGTTAGAAATACTATTAGAAAAAATAAAAAATATTTTTTCTCAACGAGAGACTATGGATATATCATCTAAGGAATATGATAATCTTAAAGAATTATATGACAATTATATTACAGATTATACTAATTTACTAGATCAAAGGATGAAACTATATATTAAAATTCGAAATAAGAGAAATAGAAGAATTTTGGAACATTCCAATAAATTAGGATATTTTGTGCAAAATATGACAAGCCATTTCATTAAGGGTAATATAGGCATTTTAGCAAAAATGAATAGTGATAGACCATTTAGAAAAATCCCCCGTTAGGGCGGCAGTCCAAAGCACAAACTTCCATTTCACCTCCAATAACAAGATAATGATTAGGCAATATTTGCATCTTAGGAATACAAACCTTTATCGTCCAAAAAAGCACATTATATACAAGACCAGAAAACCAACAGTCTAGCAAATCCCTTTTTTCACGTTAATTCCAGTAACAAGTTCATCTCAAAACAAGATACCACCTACCTATAAATTAGATTGGTTTACAAATAAATGAGTCATCTGCATCCCCTTATTCAAGCACGTCTGATCACACACTAGGAAACGAATATGTAATTTTACCTATAGTTGATCATGAAATAATCAGTCCAGTTAAAAAAAATAAGTCTTGCTCGTAATCAAGATAGACTATACATAATTCATAGAAAATAATAACGATTTCATTTCAATACAGATGCATACGTAGACATACATACACAAAGTTCCTGCGTAGGCAGAGAACTGGACCATAACACCGTTTAGTTAACATATAAATTTTTTACCTGTGAAGGAAATTAGAGTTCGAGCTTGAGTTCTTCTTTGCTATCGGAGAAATAATGGAGAACGTAAGGTGTGACCCGAATGACAGCAACCCAAACTCCGAACATTGCCGCGTGGGTCTTGAGCTGCTTCAACGCCTCCGCCTTATCCGGCTTCCTCATGAACATTCCGGGAAACATCTTCGCCCTTGCAATCGAAGACGCTTCTACTTCTCTCGGGTGTGCGCGCTATTAGAGACAGATCTAAAACCCTAACCTCAAATTAGGGTGTTTTGAAAACTTTTATCATCAAGAGCTCAAGAGAAGCCCATCTTTTATTGGGTTAAGTTCAGTGATTATTCCCAATGTTTTCAATTTTGGGCTTAGCTTTCTTTATGGGTTACCGGGCCCATTACTACAGCTTTAAATTTCCGCTGGCGGCACTAAATGCTGAAAACGATTGAAGATTGAAGGCGGGAATTTATTTGTAGGTGTAAGTAGGTGTACGTGATAATCAATAGTTTTCTATGAGTAGCTAGTTTATCGGACGAATCCATTTCTTGTGTGTAATGTGTGAAACATCCATATATTTTGAACGATTATATCATAATCACTCATCTAATATCAGATCAACGAATAAATCTCACTTTCCTTCCTCTATATTATACATGGAATGAACAACATACTCACACGACTGCACTCACATTGGAAGTCATGAATTGTAAATCAATTATTTGATTATTGCTAACATAATTTGTTTTTGATTAAGAATGTACGTGTTGTGCATGTGACTCATATAGAGTGAAACACAGGTACGATACATGGATAATTCTTGTTCGAGTCTTAAAGTCTTATATGGGCTTAAATTAGGATTAGTATAAATAATATGTTGTAACCTTATTTTTCACTGCTGAATAAAAATTACCCCTTCTTCGCTCTCGTGGACGTAGGCACACTGTCGAACGACGTAAATTCTTGTGCTGATTTTTCTTTTTCATCTCTTTATTATTATGCATAAAATCCAACGGTACGATATATTGGTCTTGAATTCTCAATGTAGCCACAATAATGAATTCAACAATACAAAATTTGCAAACACTTGCAACGGCTGAATTGAGCGAGCTAGCCCAAAAGGGTTGGACCACACATCCAGATTAGCTTGCAAGATGGGCCAGTCGAGATTGACCCTCCGATCGCGAGAGAGACCATGGCAATACTTAAGTTCAAACTACCACTTTGACAATTTATAATGACTAGCCAACTTATTTAGAGGCTCAACAATCAATATTGCATGAAAATTAATGTAAGTATGTATATGAAATGTTTTTGTCCCCTTTTTCGGCAAATGCATTTATGTATTGTACCAAAAAGTCTCCTCTGGTTGGAAAAATCATATTAAATTTAGCATTTTCTTCAGAAATTTTAATTGAGACTCAAAATTGTCAAGTATTCCATGTACCATGTAACACACAACACGCATTGTTTGAAATTTTTATAAACATTTAAACGATACATTAAATAATAGTAAGGGCTCAATTGTCATAACTTTTGAATTAAAAATTACCAACTAAAAAGTTAATTTTGGATATGTTTGAATAATTTTCAAAAAGTATTTCGTATATTCATTAGAAAACTCCTAGAAGCAAAAATCCTACCAAACGGACCCTATGTTTTATATTATATTTTTCGTTGAAAGAAGCATTTGTAGAGCATAATTGGTATAAAATATGGATAGATCGGAGAGTATATAATAATAATTTAAAATCATTAAATCATTTTCCTGCCTGACCGAAAAGAGAAAAATTCAACCACCAACATAAATGAAATTGTTCGCTTCTCAACTGTAATATAAATCTTCAAATTTATTGCTCCATCTCTCCTAACTCTTCCTACTCAGCCTTAACTCCCTTCTTTTCGGTTCATTTCCAGGTCAAAAATCCCTTCTTGTTTAGTGTGAAAAAAAAATGTGGGATTATACTGTGAAAGTTGAAGAAGGAAGAGCTGCTGATAATGGGAAGCCTTCCGCAGGAGCAGTTTATCGCTGCATTTATGCTAAAGATGGTCTTATGGAGATTCCTCCTGCTTTTCAATCTCCGTGGGACTTCTTCAGGTTCGTATAGATATACAAACACACGGTTACAGAGAATTATGAGTTTTGTTTTTAGAATAATGGTGAAGTTCACGAACCCTCTTCGAGGTAAAAAAATCTCAAAATAGGCACGACTTTTCTTTTTCTTTCTCACAAGAAAAAAGAAAAATGAAAAATCTATTAATTTGGCCCATGCAGGTCTCGAACCTGCGACCTTCGCGTTATTAGCACGACGCTCTAACCAACTGAGCTAATAGGCCATTTGTTATGCTTGTCCAATTGTTTTTATTTTTTTTTTGATAAATTTGTTTATCCATATTTCGTTTCTGTTCTCCAACGGGTTCATTAGTTCCAGTAGTTCTGAATTCCTAAATTTTGGTCTCATGGCATTGTTTAATTTGATCTATAATGCTCCTTCGTTACCCGCAGTGAATCGGTCAAAAGGAATCCCAAGAATCCGATGCTCGGTCGCCGTCAAATCATCGATGGGAAGGTGCAATTCTGCTCCCAATTTATTTATTATTATTTATTTTGCTGTTTATTATTGATAGATCACCTCAAATTTGCTAATTTACCATGATCCGGCCTAATAAATTCAATGTCATTACATAATATGTTGAATTGGTATTCGAAAATCAACAGGCGGGTTCGTATTCTTGGCTCACATACAAGGAAGTCTATGATACAACTCTCAAGATCGGTTCTTCCATCCGAAGCCGTGGCGTCAACCCCGTTAGTAGCTTTCAATTATAGAACTTCAACAAATGCTTACAGCATACAATCTCATTATAACCACTCGTGTTTAATTGATTAGGGTGACCGTTGTGGCATATACGGAGCTAACTGCCCCGAGTGGATAATTGCAATGGAGGTATACTCTCTCGAGAATTATAAAACTCAATCAATTTGAATAAAGAAAAATAAGCACTCTCAAGACTACGCAAAATTTAAAAAAAAAAAAAAAAATACAGAGAGAAAATCGCCTCCTATCTTCTCTGGCGTCTCTTTTTTCTCTTTTGATGATAATAATAGAGTCCAAGTACGACTCTCTATTTATAAGATAAATTACTACAAAATTAAATTATACAAAGACTTCAATTTTTTAATAGAATTTTATAAGAATACGAATTACTAAACAGTCCTCAACTTAACATATTCATAATCCTATTTAGTTTGTGTTATGTTGAAGTTAATTACCTTGTTGTATTGTTCAACAGGCTTGTAATGGGCATGCCATTACTTATGTACCGCTGTATGATAGCCTTGGTATGTTTCTTCCAATTATTCAATGAGTAGTTTCTTGATCGTTCAATTAGTTACTGGATTAAGGTTGGTGTTAAATGTAGGTGCAAATGCAGTTGAGTTTATAATCAACCATGCTGAAGTTTCCATAGCATTTGTTCAAGAGAGCAAGCTCCCAGCTGTATGTTCTCTTTCACTCAGCTGTATATTTGCTCGATTTTCAATTTCGTCTACAACAAAATGTAAAAGTTTAATGAATAAAGTACTTTCTGGTTGCTAATTATCAACCTACTCTCGTGATTCCTAAACAAGGATACACGAGTAATTTATCTATTTTTGAATTGGAAAAGGGGTAGCAAGACCCTCTGTTGATAAGGTTGATTTTTATCGACACTTTGTTGACAATTAGGATTTGACACATCGAAAATGATAAGGATTGTGCATGTTACTTTGTATCATTAAAAGTGGCGAGAAATTTTGATTTGGTCATGTTGGGCATGTCTGATGTGTGGCAAATTCCTTGTACTTTGTATAGATCATCCTGGAGCAATAATCTCTCTCTCTCTGTGTGTGTGTGTGTGTGTGTGTGTGTGTGTGTGTGTGTGTATCATCATCCCTCAAATAGCTTATTTGAATTACCTTTGTATAACTGGGAATTAACTTTTAATTTGAAAAGGCTACATATCAAAGATTCTAAATTTTTTACGGAAAATTAAGCATTTTTTTTCCCTTTTAACTATTTGATCTGATAGCTGGATGTTTCTGCAGATCCTAATATGTCTCTCCAAATGTACATCACATCTAAAAAGTAGGTGAAATTACTCTATCTTAAGTTATCATTTCTTGGTTTTATTGTGAACTGCTAGTTATATTAAAAAAGAACTGTATCTTTTGTAAAGCCATTGTGAGTTTTGGAAAGATTTTGGACAAGCAAAAGGAAGCAGCTGAGGAACTAGGTGTAGACTGCTTCTCGTGGGAAGAATTTGCTTCAATGGTTAGAAGACATTGGTTAATAACTCTGTATAGTGAATAATATGACCAATACTTTTAGGCCCTGATACGATCTTGTTATGATTTTATCACTCTTTCGTCTCTGCAGGGAAATTTGGATGGTAATCTTCCTGGAAGGCAGAAGAAAAACACTTGCACGATAATGTATACCAGTGGAACAACGGGAGAACCAAAAGGAGTCATTCTAAATAATGGCGCTTTCATGGCAGAAGTTTTATCTATGGATCAACTTCTTCTAGAGACTGACAAACAGGTAAAAATACTTTAAATGGACTAAGTGTCATCCTGTTTTCTCCTCCAGCCAGGAAATGAACTTGCAATTATTGAATAATAATTTTCCTTTGCAGTTTTCCGAAGAGGATGTATACTTTTCCTTCCTTCCACTAGCTCATATATTCGATCAAATTATAGAGACTTATTCTATTTACCGGGGTTCTTCAATAGGATTTTGGCAAGGCGTAAGATAAATATCTCGCTATTGAATTTCTCTGCTAAATAAGAATCTGATAAAACGCATTTACTGTGGAAAGTTTAAATCAACATTACTGCTAACAAACAGGACGTCAGATACTTGATTGAAGATCTTCTTGTGTTAAAACCAACTATTTTTTGTGGAGTTCCTAGAGTCTATGATCGAATATACACAGGTATAAGATTTTGCTTGTATTATTACAATGTCAAATTCTCGTACTTAATATTTTGGGTGTCTGCTTGTTCAGGCATAATGGATAAAATATCAGCTGGTGGTTCACTGAAAAAGGCACTTTTCCAGTATGCGTACAACTAGTATGTCACTTTTTACCCTATTGCAATAGTTATTTTCTTTCACTACCTCTCTCTAAATGAATGAGAGATGCTGACAGTAAATTAAGGAATTTGGAGAAAGGACTAAAACAAGAGGAAGCATCTCCTCTGTTGGACAAATTGGTATTCGATAAGGTTAGTGACTTAAAATTCTACTGTTAGTATGTTACATTCTAAAAGTTACGTCGTTTTCCTCACTGATTTCCTACCCTTTCAGATCAAACAAGGATTTGGAGGACGAGTTCGTCTTATGTTATCTGGAGCTGCACCTTTGCCTAAGCACATTGAGGAGTTTCTGAGGGTCACATGCTGCTGTCTTTTATCACAAGGATATGGTATGAAAAAGAGTATTGATCCAGAGCGAAACTTTTACTAGGAACCTTATTCTGCGTTGTGTATTCCCTGTCCCTTGATGACAATAGTATCAACTTACAACTGGAGAAACCATGGTAGATGAAGGCAGCATATCATTGCACTTCAATCTATAATAATCTCATATCATGTCACGAGTGTACTTGATTTTTACTTGTGAGCCTCTAAAAGAATATTTTGAACAAGCCTAATGCTATGTTTCAGCTTCTGTTACTCTTTAGATGTCTAGAAGTGTTCAAGCATGCCATTTGATAGTAATTACTGTACCAGAATTTCAATTTTTCTCCTGATTTTCCTTTCCTCAATTTCTCTATTATAACTTGCGCTTCTTTCCCTGTTATTTTGACTTCAGGCCTTACAGAAAGTTGTGGTGGATGTTTCACTTCCATAGCCAATGTGTACCCTATGATTGGAACTGTTGGTGTTCCCATGACTACAATCGAAGCAAGGCTTGAATCAGTGCCTGAGATGGGATATGATGCACTTTCTAGTGTGCCACGTGGTGAAATTTGTCTAAGGGGAACAACCTTGTTCTCTGGATACCATAAACGCCAGGATCTTACCGAAGGTGTAGTTGTGGATGGATGGTTCCATACAGGTACACTTCTCAAATGCAACCAGAAGCTCACCTTTCTTCTTTTGAGGACTCTATCTTCTATTATTGAATGGAAGGGATCTGGGCTCATCAAAGAATTAACTTCTAACACATCCTAATCAGCTATCAAGTTATTTGATTTGTAACTAAAGGTAAAAATGAAACCTGTAGGGGACATTGGGGAGTGGCAGCCCAATGGAGCAATGAAAATAATTGACCGGAAAAAGAATATATTCAAGCTGTCACAAGGTGAATATGTTGCCGTGGAAAGCATTGAAAGCACATACTCGCGATGTTCCCTTGTAACATCTGTAAGTTCAAAATGACCAAGGAAACAATATTTTTCATTCTTGACAGAAGATGCACATTCATGGGGATAACCGGCTTGTTCATCCGCATTGCTGTGTTCACAAATGATTATATTAGTCCTTTCTTAACCATTTAATTGTGGGAATCTTGAATTGTGACTTGCCGCTTTGCAGATTTGGGTTTATGGAAACAGCTTTGAGTCGTTTCTTGTGGCTGTGGTGGTACCAGAGAGAAAAGCACTCGAAGATTGGGCCGCAAATAATGAGGTGAAGGGTGATTTTAAGTCCCTGTGCAGTAACTCAAACGCTAGGAAATATCTTCTGGATGAGCTCAACGGCACTGGTAAAGGATACAACGTATGTACTTGTTCTCAATTTTCCTCGTTGATTTCGTGGTCTATTTTTGTTCCTTGTTTGATCCAAATGTTCTCTCAGCTTCGAGGTTTTGAAATGTTAAGAGCAGTTCATCTGGAGCCAATTCCTTTTGACATTGATCGTGATCTAATCACTCCAACATTTAAGCTTAAGAGGCCACAATTGCTCAAATATTACAAGGCAAGTAAAATGATTGGTTACTCTCTATATTCTCCGCATTGTATAACCCTTTCGGAAGGGTTGGCCACTATTGATCGTCAACGATATGTTCGGTACACAAAACTCGACGCTACTGTGATATATAATTTGCCACGATTTTAAGCTTTTTCTTTCTTAATACTGTCAGTAATTGCCGAGCAAGCCATAATGGTATATTCGGGGGCATGATAGCATTAATTTAATGCTTATGACTGAATATTACACATCGCCATTCTAAACGTGTTTTTGTCCATCTGCAGGATTGCATCGATAAACTGTACAGTGATGCCAAAGGAACAAAGGCATAAAGAACATCATCAAATCGATACGAGCTTCTAAATGTCCTTTCCAAGCACTCCATATCTACAATTCAAGTTCATCCGATTAAGAACTACACACGCATGTCCATGTATACCTCTCGTATCTAGTGCAACAAATCAAATAATTCTGGATTTATGGTAAATCCATGAATATAAATCGTGAATGGAGTTTGTTTTGTACGTGTATACTTTCACTGGTCGACTCTAAAATTAATAAAAAATAAAGTTTAGTTTATTGTATTGATAAAACATTCATAGAAGGAGAATTCTGTTATATACAGTGACACAAAACTCTCTCAATCTCAGGTCCAATGAAGCTTTATTGTATCCACAAAGAACAAATCAACTTACTTGTAACTCGAAAGCAACACAGACAATGGATTAATACATGCAAACCTTCAAACCATCACATATAAATTACACTGAAAAATCAACTTCAAAGAATGTAGAGTATGAGTGCCCAGACGGGATATACCAACAGAATGACTATCCCGATAGTGTTGGAAATCCCGTGGCTCTTCGTGAAGGAATTCCTGAACCCACCCGATGCTCGGATATGTTCCTGCAGCAAATAGCATCCGATGACCAGACAAATCAAGATACCAACCCAGCTGTCCCTTATGGTGTCAGCAAAAAAGCTTGGAGCCACCACAATGACAAGGATCAAAGCTGCCGGCAGTTCTAGCCAATCTGCATTAAAAAATTTATCCAAGTGATGTTACTCCGAATGGAAGGGTGCGGGAGAAGGTATTATGACCGACTGGTAATGTCGTACCCGGAAAATGTCTGGGGAAGAAAAGGCGTAGGACAACAGCTATAAACGCAATCCACTTCCCAATTTCTCCTCTGTACTATTAATCGTGTAAGTTTTACGCAAAAATGAATTATCAAAACGGTCCAGAACTACGGAAGTTACAGTAAGGATCATTCATCATTACCTGAGCAAGTTGAAAATTAGTGAAGGAAGACTCAGGAAAATGTATGGAATTAAAAGGGCCGTAAGTATGTTGGTTTTCCAGTTTGTTCGATCTAGGATCAACAAGTAACTGCACACCAAGAGATTTGTTAAGTACAGTTGATGAATCAATGATACAAGGCATGCAACAAGTCGTGTAAATGGTGGTAAGTAGTTAGTATTGCGATTAAATGAATCACATAAAGAGGAGCGTAAAGAAGTGAATTCCCTTTCCTTTAGACACCCTTTTTGCCCTGTATTAAGCAGCAAAAGAGGAAGCACAGAAAGCAGTGAATAGCAATCTAATTAGCAATCATGAAGTTCTACAATCCATTAGAAGCCGACATCAATGGACTAACAGAAGGGGATGGACGGACTTTTAGTTTTGAACTTCTATGGCTAGAATCAAGTCAAATCTCATATTTAGGTCAACGAATCATCATAATCAAGTAACAAGGGCATCTAAACTTGAATAAAACTCAGGTCTCATTTAACAGAACTTGTGCTTTTGCTTTTACGCACTGCAGAAAGAACTTCCTAGTAAGCTACCTTTGGCCAGTCTTCTCTAAAAGCTTAGACAAAGAACAAAAATAATTCAAACAATTTTATCTTCTTCACACTCTTCTTAAACCGAAACCTAACTTCATTATATTAATCTCTAAACAAGAAGATTTCTTCAATTAGTTCACACCGACACATAATCCAATCCATTCACAGCATAAGTATTCCAGTACTGCAAATCAAACGTTCACTGTGGAAATAAAACAAACAGGTAGAAGGCAAAGGGTAAAAAACTTACATTGCAGAAAATGAAGCAATCCATTTGAGGATTGTAGTCCCAAATCCAAGGCTACCAAGCTTTACTGTATGATTAGCAAGCTTTTTCACAGCATTCCCAATTTCCTTAAAATCAGAACTGATCAATTCATTAGCAGCTACAGAATCAGTTTTCATTGCCAAATAACTCTTCTTTTTTCCCACAATTTTATCCATTGATAGGACCTCCAACCCTATAACTCAATACAAGATAATAATGAAATCGTTATAAAGAGAAGGGACGCTGATTAAATAGTGGATTTTTGTATATTATTATTACTATTTTTGTAATTAAAAAAGATTGGAAGATTCAAGAATTAATAAGTTTGGTGTTTAATTAGTCAAATGGTGTGTGTGCTGGAACTTTGCGTCGGCAGAGATAAGTTTGGAGCTTAATTAGACAAATGGAGTGTGTGCTGGAACTTTGCGTCGACAGAGATAAGTTTGGAGCTTAATTAGTCAAACGGAGTGTGTGCTGGAACTGTGCGTCGGCAGAGAGGGGAAGTGCCACATGGAATTCGTAGGTTTCTCATTACTAACTAACAAATCTTGCTAGTTTTTTATTGCCGAGGTTGTTAACGTGTTCGATAAACACATTTGTTGTCCATTTTGAGCTATTTAAGGATTAAAAAAGCTAATAATTCAGTGAAATATGCAACAAGCACTTGGATTAAGGGATCTCAATCTGTCTCCCGGTTCGAGCCGAGCCTCATTTCCAGGCGATAGCCCAAGCTTGAGCCAACCTAAAATGACCTCTTGGCTTGTGTCATAGGCTTGCAGAAAGCAGGCAGAGAGGGGAAGTGCCAGTAGGTTTCTCAAACAAATCTTGCTAATTTTTTATTGCCGAGGATGTTAACGTGTTCGATAAACACATTTGTTGTCTATTTTGAGCTATTTAAGGATTAAAAATAAAAAACTAATAATTCAGTGAAATTTGCAATAAGCACTTCCCAATCCGACTCGCGGCTCGGACCAAGCCTCATTTTCAGGCAATGACCCAAACTTGAGCCAACCTATTAAGTAGGCTAAAATGACTTCTTGGCTTGTGTCACAGGCTTGCAGAAAGCAGGCGGTAGCTATTGCCACGAGTGCTTGCAAACACTATGGAAAAAAAAAAAATTGAACTGACTAGGCTTGGCCTGGCTCGCTTCACAAGGCTTGAGCCTAAAGTCCAAGTCGAGACTCGATTTTTTGTTCGAGCTTGAGCTTTGGCTCGGCTCGACTCGACTCGGCCAAAAAACCTCGAGCAATTTTTTTGTCAATTCGCACCCAAGCTGCGAACTTTAACTCGTAAGCTTGCTCTACCCAACCCGTTTATATCCCCACTTGGATAGAGAGCAGGTTGAAATGTTGATTCAAGCCCACGTTAACTGGACTTTTTAATCTGTTAAAGTCTAATTGGTTAGTTATTTTCATGGGTTTGGCGCATTTTGTCGATAAGGGCTCGTTTTGCGAGATGGTGCAGTGGATGCTTCTTTTAGAGTAGAATTTGAGAATGAAGATTGGATTGTTAAATTGAGTAGTAAGTTCAGAATAAAAAATATATATCATAAATCAAAAAACTTGTATAGGGTGAGATTTCACAATAATCTTACAGATGCTCAAATTATATGTAAACATTATAATAAATAAAGCTATTATTAAATAAATTTTGTTGAATTAATTTTTTGATGAATTTTATCTTTTAAAGTCCAAAACACCGCACAAGGAGATTGGGAAAACATTTCTTGGAAGAAGTTACTGTAAACAGTTGATTGTTCGTTAAAGATTTTTTGTAAGCAGTAGGCAAAATTCATTCATGAAAGTAATTTGCAAACAACAATTATTTTTAATTTCCGTGAAGATTTTGAATGTTCTATTGGGCTTTATTGTTGGCTCAGGGCAATCATATGATTGGACCCATTTTTTGTGAGATCTATAACCAAAAATAAAAATAAAACTTAGTGAAAATTACACAAACACGAGCATTTTAATTTCAGAGTGCAAAAATCAAGTGAAAAGATTTTTTAATCAAAATGCAGGTATTCAGTTAATATCCCAAACAAACCCTAAATATTTTTTTCTCCCAAACACTTGTCTCCCTCTTCCTCTCCCTCTCCCTCTCCCTATCCTTATTTCTCTCCCCTCTCTATCTCAACCTATCCCTACCCTCACTGTTCCGACATCGCATCCACCATCATCCAGCATGGCACCATCATCTTCTCAACCTACCTCTCCCCATATTTCGACGGTTCAAAATGACAGCAGCACTAGTAGGCAACGGTGCTTACTGCTTGAAGCAGCGAAGTAGTAGCATCGCCTCGAAAAACCTGGCTGCTCATGACGGTGCCTCGTTGCGGACAATGCCGCTATGCATAGTGAGGCGGCATTACTGCATAGTGAGGCCTCAGTGCTTTTTTTAACCGATCTACTGTGGGAGGTTTTTGTTGGTGATTTTTCGATTAAATTTATTGCGATAGCTTGTTGGTAGCTATGGTGGTGGTGAAGTTGGCTAGGCTTTTGGTGGTGATGCAGGTCACGGTAATGTAGCAGTGTTGGTAGATCTGGCCGTTTGGGGTTTTGTTGAATTGGGCCGGTGGTAGGGAGTGTTGATGGTCGTGTGTTTTGTTTTGTTGTTGGTGGTAGTTATGGGGATAGTGTGGTGGATGCAGGGGGGGTAGGATAATGTTTGTGATCGATTATTTGGTTGATCTATGACCAATAGTTGGGGTAGAATGTTTTGATGTATGTGACCAAACTATTTAGTTGTGTGTTTTGCTGGTAGTAGTGGTGTTGGCTTTGGCGGTGAGGTTGGGTGGTGATTGTGGTGCCACTTTGGGTACAACGATGGTAGTGAGGTTACGATGGTTTGGTGCAAGCGATGATTGTGTGGTGGTGAATTGTGATCAAGATTGATACTGGGTCAAGATTGATGGTGGGGTGTTTTGTGCATGTAACCAACTATTTGAGTTAATTATTAATCTGTTACCAATAAACTTGAAAATATGTGACTCATAGATAAACCGTGACCTGTAATTTGAATGATCCGTGATTTCGAAATAATCTGTGACTTATAAAAAATTTTATTTATGACCACGAAATAATTTATGATCAATTAATTTGATGATATGTTACCAGTAAATAAATCCGTGACCTATAATTATGAATTTGTGATCTAAGCCCACGTCAATTGGACTTTTTAATATGTTAAAGTCTAATTGGTTAGTTATTTTCATGGGTTTGGTGCATTTTGTCGATTTGGGCTCGTTGTGCGAGCGGTGCAGTGGATGCTTCTTTTAGAGTATAACTTGAGAATGAAAATTGGATTTTTAAGTTGAGTAGTAAGTTTAGAATAAAAATTACATATCATGAATCAAAAAACTTGTAGAGTGAGATTTTCACAATAATCTTTACAGATGCTCAAATTATATGTTAACATTATAATAAATAAAGCTATTGTTAAATAAATTTTGTTGAATTAATTTTTTGATGAATTTTATCTTTTAAATTCCAAAACACTCCACAAGGAAATTGGGTAAACATTAATTTCTTGGAAGAAGCTACTATTAACAGTTGATTGTTCGTTAAAGATTTTTTTGTAAGCAGTAGACAAAATTCATTCATGAAAGTAATTTGCAAACAACAATTATTTTTAATTTCCGTGAAGACTTTGAATGTTCCATTGGGCTTTATTGTTGGCTCAGGGCAATCATATGATTGGACCCATTTTTTGTGAGATCTATAACCAAAAATAAAAATAAAACTTAATGCAGTAATAAAATAATATATTTTTGGGAAGAACACGTAATTACAAAAGCTTCAAGATACACTTTAAAAACTAAGAAACTTGTGAAAAAGTTTCAAAAATCAAGTCACAATCACAAATCGCATAAGGCCAGTCATAAAGGCACAAATTGTAAATCACAATTATAAATTTTTTTTTTTAGGTTACACATTATTTATTGATAACAAATTACCCATTTTTATCGATTACAAATTATCCATTTTGTTCACTCTTCATTTCACTTAACAACCACCAATACTCTCACCACTGCTTTATCACTACCATCATTTGTAAGTTGACCCTCAATTTGAAATTGCAAGCAGGGACGTACAATTACGCATATTGCACGTCCTCGCCTCCAAATCCTAATCCCCCCTCTTTTCTCTGTTGTGTTGGTGGCATCTAGCCATAGGTGGTGTGCCATCTCGACGCCACCTTGTTACAACAGGGATATACTTGATTCTTGAATTAAAAAATCTTACATCTTATTTTTGAATTGATAAGTTGAAAAGCAGACGTGGGTGTAATTTTCACTATATTTTTTATAAAACGATAAATTAGTAGAGTACCATCAGTCAAGTAATTAAGAAAGGCGAAACCAAGTGATTCCACACATAACGAAGTAACAAGAAAATAAGTATTACATTTCTCAGTTTAGTGCTATTTGTGTCAATTTATTCAAAAGACTTTTTTATGCCTCGTGCTTGAAGAATGGTTTGGGTAGTGAATTATTTTGTCAATAAAGAATTTGGATGAATTATTGGTCAGTAAAGAATTCAAAGATTGAATAGTCAATAAACTAAAAAAAGGGAAAATTGCTGCCACAACACCAAACCTTTCTTTTATTAACAGGCTTTGCCTAAACTTTTCATTTGTGCCACCGTGAGTATCAAATCTTTAAAAAATTTGCAACCGAGGTCCAAATTTCTGTTAGTTTGACTATTAGTTGACCCAATAAATTGACTTTGACCAATTTTAGAAGGGATGAAATTGTAATTTTGAATTATAATAAAAACAAAAACAAAAAACAAAAACCAATCACTGTTCTTCTTTTCTTTCCCACCCCGTCCCTCCCCAACCCAAAACCTATCCACCATTAGCAGTCATCACCAATCGTCGGCAACCACCACCCGTCGCCATTCACAGGAAATAATCTTACACAAGACCAAGAAAATTACAGCGATGGGTGGCTACAGGTGAACCGCTACTGCCTCCCATCGACGCTATCCTATAGCTAGAACTCTTCAACTGAATCATTTGGACCTTTCTTGAATTGCCTTTTCGCCTCCGACTGCGTTCACCTACTGGAAATCGTATCTACTTCCCACGGTGACGTTTTGTCTCCTTTCCTCTCTAGAATGCTCTCTTCCATCCTCTGTCGCCTCCGCAACCCCGACTTTGCCGTTTGCTTCGCCTGTGTTGACGCGATAACCTCCATCACCACACACGTCACAAAATCTTCACCATTCTCAAGCCCCTTGTAGATACTATTTTGAACCAATAAGACTAGAACTTGAAGATTTGTGCTTCGCTCTGCCTAGCTATTGCAACAGAGGCAGTGCAGGAACCAACACGATGGAGCTTAAAACGCTGTCGCAAAGGCTGATGAAAGCATTGTGAGCGTTGGTGCTTGTTCTTTAATGTAATAATTGAGAGTTCTGAGGGAGAAAATGAATTGTCTTTAGAGATTTGGAGAGATGTTCTAGCAGGAGGTGG